ATATATATATATATATATATATACATATATGTATGTGTATATAAATGCTTAATATAATGAGTATGCCCATAAAAATAATACTTTTAATAAGGTTTTAAGTATATGTTAAGCCTAACTTCGAAATATCAGTAGATCTAATTAATAATATAAGCCTGTGTCTAAACCTGTTTAGAATATGCTTAAAAATTATGTCTGTCTGTCTGTCTATATGATAGACTTATGAGAACAGTGTTATTCGCTATCAAAATATCCTCTTTAGAAATATGAAAAACTCATCGATCCGATTTATACCTGTTGTGACTATATTTAGGTAGGTCTTAAACGCTACAGTCATGAGGACCAAAATATGATTGGGGGGACAAAGAAGTCTGACTTACGTATTAAATAAGGGTGTCATGGTTATACTATATCCCGCGGAAAAAAAGTAGGTGCAGTTACTTCCCCTTGCCCCCCATAAACCCGCCTATGGCTATAGTACTTTACACAACTCGGTATTTGTGAAGAGTTACTGGTGAAAATTCAATCATTATACTAAGCACTAATAATAGCAAATCAACCTACAAATCTTTGTATGTGAAAACCTATAATAGTTAATATTTCTAATTTTATGTTTACGAACTTAGGCACGTACTCAGAATGTTTGAAAGGGAGTGTTCTGATTTATAAGATTGAAAAGCCAACACATACTGTACGAAGCACAATCAGCATGCCAAGACTTCGGGGGTCTGGCGATATGCGACTATTTCAAACCCAAGTTGGACCTTCTTTCATAGATTGTTTAGGCAAGTGTAGTATTCATGATGAAACTTGGTGTTGAATGGACGACAACTGCCTGTTGTAGAAACACAAGTGTTGTATTCATGATGAAACTTGGTGCTGAATGGACGACAACTGCCTGTTGTAGAAACACAAGTGTAGTATTCATGATAAAACTTGGTGTTGAATGGACGACAACTGCCTGTTGTAGAAACACAAGTGTTGTATTCATGATGAAACTTGGTACTGAATGGACGACAACGTCTTTCAAAACTTCGTCCTCTGCACATGTGTTTCTACAACAGGCAGTTGTCGTCCATTCAACCAAGTTTCATCATGAATACTACACTTGTGTTTCTACAACAGGCTTTCCCTGCCTGAAGACGAAAGGATTTGCTTTGAAGGTTTTGATTAGGCCAAAACCTTTAAAATAGGTTTTGATTAGGCCAAAACCTTTAAAATGTTTAAAAGTAAGATAAAGTAGAAAAATATAGCAATTATAAACTAAGTTAAAAGTTTAAGTAAGTTTATCCTTACAAGATTTCAGCCTGAGGCAATAACCTCGATCAACGACGAAAAAAAGTTCAAAATGTCTCGCAGTTAAAAAGTAAAGCTCAATAATTTAATATCTTGAAATAAACTGGAGTGAAAACGTTTATCACTTGTGAAAAATCTACTTTTAATCGCCTGAAGGATGCTTTAAATGTTTCTTGGATTGAAGAGTTGTATATGATACAGCGAAAGCGCTACCACTCGTATCCTGATCGATTCTTATGGTAGTCACGTGCTTTCTTCAGTTTTCTGATCATTTTCACGCTCGTGGTGTCTACTTTGTGGACGAGCGTGGCCCATTGGTTAGCGTGCCTGACAGTGGATCTGAAGTTTCGTGTTCGCACGGTGTTACTGCCCCCTCACAAAAAAAAAAACGCTCCGCACTTTAAAGCTATTTGTGCGTTATAAGAGTAAGGGTCAATTCCCATTATTTAGTCTTTAAAAAAAGTAGGCTAAGAATTGACGATCGGGCAGCGTTTTCTATCTTATCTATCATTTCAAAATTAGGAACAGTTGTGTAGATTTGTTCCAAAAGTTTAAAACAAACATACAAAAAGAAATAAAAACAAAATATGCAGAAATTGATGCTAAGGTTGTGGCAATCAGATATAAATCTTTGTCTGGCTTAGTAGTCTATATGACCACCTAAGTCTAATTATTAAGAGTGGTGTAGGAAACGTGGAACCGAAGGAGCAAGGCCTCCGACTTTTCAATCTGTTCCAGTAAAATTGGCTCAGAATTAGGAAAATTACTCTCTGGAAAAGCGGGAGAATGCATAAAATTTGATCTAGAACCCAAGAACTTCCAGGACCCCCAGGAATCCAACGGTAATAAGTGCATCTGTGGCGCACATCCCCTCGCCTTCTCTCGGTGGTTACATACCTAACTAGAGATAAAACTGGTTGAAAGTTTTTTAATAATTAATAACTAGTTATATGTATAAATATTCATTAATTAATAATTTGACGTAGGCGATTGTAATGACTACTTACCGGTCATGAAAACCGTGTAAAACGTTTAACTTTGTAATTGAATAGGCCTATGTGCGCAGAAACGTGGAGCACACAAACCAGATTGGAGAATTTTCAGCCGCGGCATAACGGCTCTGAAGCTTATTATCAAGTACAAACTTTTAGCTCATAGCTCCGTCATCTCTTGACCGATTTGAGATCTAACTACAGTTTTGGACTCAGGAGGTCAAACCCTTTCGATTGATGTATTTGACCATGCCTAAGTTTTCGTAGGTTTATTCACTCTAATCCTACCTAAAAGAATTTCAAGTGCCGCGTCTATTAAGGATTCCCTCTTGTTCAGAATGTTATTTGTATGTTTCAGAGGTTCAACGGTGAGACTGAGGACGCCTATAACGCTAAAAACCAGGTTTCGATACCCGGCGGTGGGCAGAGCACAGACAGTTCATTGTAAACAACAAATGAATAAACATAATATTTCGTATTCTCTAATTTGTTTCTCTAAACAACAGATAATTTGTCAACTTATAAACTGGAAAATACATCCTAAAAAAGAAATGTTTTTTTTTGCAATAACTTAGTTATTTGTGTTTAATTGAAAAAAGAAAGAAAAAGAACAACGCTATAGAATACTTCTAGCCATAGGCGCCGAAACTGGAGGGGGGCAATGGGGACACGTACCCCTCCCACAAAAGTAGTAAAGTGCTCTTCTTCAAAAAATGAAAAATATAACATCAAAAATACAACGACGTCGGCAAAACAGCATGCAGAACCTAAATATGTAAAGTAGGTTAGCAGTAGGTTTAAAGCTTGTTGTATCTACAAGTGGAAACTTGTGTACGTTTTGGTTATATGTATATATATTCATATACGTTGATTTTTATTTCGTGAATTCGTTTGCTTTCTTTGTAATAGACAAACAAGTTCAAGCGTATGAAATTCCCTTTGTAGATAATTACTGAGATTGTTTTTAAAAATTCTGTGAAAGCAAAGATTAATGTATAATATTATGTCTACTGTATCTGTCCTATCCAGTGCCGACGAGGCCCTTCGCTTAATACCAGAGCTCATTAGGCCGGCTCGGATATAACAGACACAGTAGTGTTTGAGACGTATATTACCAAATACCCTGAACAACTATTATGGTCTGTATTCGATTACATTGTTGAAATTCGGTGAATCAGTGTGTGTGTGTGTGTTCTTCATACTTTATATTAACCAATCCCTTTTAAGCCTCAAAAATATGGATAAAACTTATACATTTATTTGGATGTTATTAGACAATCTTGTCTTAGAAAACATTCGAACAGATCTCGTGTCGTACATAAACTTAAACGATTTGACAGCCAAGGAAAAAGAAAGAACACGTTATAAAAGAAATTACGTTTATTCATTTATTTATGCAGATTAAATTATTACAATAAATTACAGTCTCTTCTCCAATATGATACATCAAGAATGACAACAAGTAAAGAGAACGAGGCAGCTGGTATCACTGAGAAATCGTGTAGGTGAATATCCAATAAAGATAAGATTTCTTTACTCCAACTGAATAACTGGGGACATTATTAGCGGTACTGAACGTTCTCAAAGGAGAGGACCCAATAAAGATAGGATTTCTTTACTCCAACTGAATAACTGGGGACAGTATTAGCGGTACTGAACGTTCTCAAAGGAGAGGACCCAATTAAGATAGGATTTCTTTACTCCAACTGACTAAATAACTCCCCAGTGGCTCAGCGGTAAGCCTGAAGGCTCATAACACTAAATATCGTGTTTCTATACCCATGCTGGGTACAGCACAGATAGCCCATTGTGTAACTTTGCGCTTGATAACAAACAAACTGCCTAAATACCGTGGTGTAGTTCATTATTGGTACTGAAAACTAACATATGCCATGGTCCAGCCAAGAATTTGTTGACTTCAAGCTTGACCTGAACTACGGACGATGGATGGTCATTGAAATGACCAAATATCATCAATTAGTAGACATTTTGATTCTCCATGAACGTCGAAAAGTACACACCATAATATTTATACCACGTTCTGCTACGGGAAACACGTCACTAATAAAAGTCGGTTTACATTTTTACTATCACGCTAGATCATTTTCCTCATCAGTCTCTTTAATGATTCCGATTTTCCGACCACAATTCCTTATCTTATGAATCACTTCCTCTTGCATTAAGTTAAAACACATCGCGATCAGCGCCATGCCGATTAGCAAATAGAGTGAACAAATAATTAACTTCTCTTGAGAAGCTTGACCACTGGCAACAGAGTGACCGGGCACTAGATCACCAAACCCGATGGTACTGAGGGTAACGAAACAGAAGTAGGAACCATCCAGAAATCCCCACCCCTCCCACAGAGAGAAGACTGTCGCCCCTCCTGAAATATATCCAACCAGAATTAACAGACAGAGCGTGATAGGTACAGATGCTCGTGGTTCCTCGTGTTCGAGGTCTTCACGTACCTCGTTAGGGATAGCTTCGATTCGAGCCTCGTCCTCAGAGTGGACAGGAAGCTTATCCTGGACAGCAGGTTCGAAAGAGGAATTGTGCGCCACAGTATGTTGGACTCGGTAGTTATCTGTACATTTTCTTCTTCTGTACGGATCATTAGGCTTACAGGTGCACAGCCGGCTATAGATGTACCTTAAAGATTTAGCAAGGGTATCGCCTATGTTGGTCAGGTACAGTAACATCAGTGGAATGCCCACAATTGCGTATAGTACGGTCGCCACTTTTCCCCAGCTTGTCCTTGGTGCTATGTTTCCGTAGCCTGTCAAAGAGAGAAAAAAATTCGTACAACATCTCTTCACTCCTCGGATCAAATTAAACAACGAACAACCTAAAAACGCGTTTAAGATTGCATTATCTATAATCACAATACAAAAACGCATTTTTTGAAAATTACATTGCCTATGGTCACCACATAAAAAACTGGTCGAGACTGCATTATCTATAACGCAACATAAAAACATGTTTTTTCAATTGCA